TTCATGAGAACACTGTGATCTCTTTTTTTCTGCCATGTTTCACAGTGAGAAGCCCAGATAATAAGTTTCTTAATATTGCCAAACAAGCAGGTAACACAGATTCCTTCAATAGGGTAAGAAAGTAATATGCTCCTGGAACTGTTGATACCCAGCATATGCTTAAATAATCATCATCATCATCATAGTAAATGTATTCTGAGTTTTACATTTGGTTTTTATCATCTCCTAGTATCAATATCACATTTCCCCACCCAGTTAGCTACAATTCCAAATGAGAATTTCAACTGCCTGAGCTTGGGGCTCACTTAAATTTTCACAAACCCTGTTTCTCAGTGTGAGACCCTGTTCATCAACATGTGCCCCAACTTGCTGTTTCATTTGTGTTCTTTAAAACTCATTAATTTAACTCATGAGCCTTTGATAATGTTTTTTTCAATTTTCATTTAAACGATTCACACCCCAAATAATTCCAAAACTTGACATCCTTGTTTAATTCTAAACCTCATGGGTATAAAGTCACATGGAATTAGAGGGGAAAATCTGTTGAAACCTATCAACGAAATGATTTTACTTTGTTTCTTAAACTTCTGCTGCTGTATTTATGTGAGCCTGGGGCCTAAAAATAAATACTTTTCACTTACACATGAAATTAGTACTCATAGAACTTTTGCCAAAGGCAAAAAAAAAAGGAAAAAAAAAGAAAAATAGAAAAAACAAACAAACAAAACCTCTTCAGTACTCTTCCCTATCTGCCTTATTAAACCAATTCTATCAAACTACACTTTTCATACATGACATTTTAAATGAGCAAATTAAATCTAATTTGAGTAAAATTAAAACATATAACATGGCTCAATCACCTCCCTCTCCCAGTTAATTTTTCCCAGAGTCAAGATGAAGAGCCAGTTATACTATCAACTTCAGGTGTTCTGTGACCTTGCAATGACTCCATACTTAAGTTTTGCCTCAGCCTGGCATGCAGTACTGTCTTAAGGCCTAGGTGCTGCTGGTTAGTCATTTGCTCAGGAACAGAGATCCTGTGCTGCCTGTCCTTCAGGTTAACTATCCTCTTATATGCCACAAAAAACAGTGAGTCTAGCTGTGTTATAGAAAAAGCTGCAATTTATTTTGCTTTTCAGTGGACAAAATACTATATGATAAATAAGCTCCTAATCTCTTTTTCAAGAACTTTGGAGTGCTGGGATAAATACTGTTAAATTATAAAACAAGATTATTCAAGGGACAATTTAAGTAGAAATCTATTCGTTTGCTAGGACTTTCCTAACAAATTATGACATTTTTGGTGGTTTAAATCAAGAGAAATACATTCTTTCACACTTGTGGGGGCCAGAGGTCTATAGCAAGATATTGGCAGGACCACACTCCCTCTGAAGGTCTTAGGGTAGAAAACTTCCTCTCCCCTTCCAGCTCAGGGTGCCTCCTGGCATCCTTAGTTTATGGCAGCAAAACTCTTATCTCTCCCTATTTTTTATTTTTTATTTTTGGAGATGGAGTCTTACTCCGTTGCCCAGGCTGGAGTCCAGTGGCATGATCTTGGCTCAATGCAATCACCACTTCCTGAGTTCAAGTGATTCTATCTCAACCTCCCAAGTAGCTGGAATTACAGGCATGCGCCACCACACCTAGCTAATTTTTGTATTTTTAGTAGAGACAAGGTTTCGCCATGTTGGTCAGACTGGTCTCGAACTCCTGACCTCAGGTTATCCACCCGCTTTGGCCTCCCAAAGTGCTGGGATTAAAACGTGAGCCACCACGCCCAGTCTTCCTCCATCTTCATATGGCCTTCTTCCCTGTGTCTCTCTGTGTCCTCTCCTCTTCTTATAAGGACCACAGTCATCAGATTTAGGGCCCACCCTACATCCATAATGATCTTGTCTTGAAATCCATATCTAATTACATAGGCAAAGAGTCTATTTCCAAACAATGTCACATTCTGAGATTCCAGGTGGACATAAATTTTCAGGAAACACTCATTATTCAACCCATAGCAGTATCATAAAAGAAATATGTGGGAAGAATTTGCTAACAGCCTCTGTAAAAATTTAGAATACACTTGCAGAGGTTTTAAAATGTGTCCACAAATTCTTTAATACTCTTCTCTTCAAGAGACATAGTCTCCCTTTTCCCTTCACTTGGACGCAAGTGGACCTAGTGGACAGCCTCTAACAAATAGAAAACGCAGAAATGACCATGCGTGACTTTGAAGACCAAGCCATAAAGCACTGTTCATCCTCTTTCTCTCTCATTCTCTTCCTCTCTTCTCTCTCTGTCTTTCTCTCATTCTCTCTCTCTCTCTCTCTCTCTCTCTCATATTGCTCACTCAGAAGGAGTTACGTTCCGTGTTCCCAGGACATACTAAGTATTCCACAGAGAGGCCACTGTGGTGAAAGACTGAGTCATCCTACCAACAGGTAGAAAGGAACTGATGCCCCATGCACACCGTTGTGTAATAGCCATTTTGGAAGCAGATCCTCCAGCACTATCAAACCTTCAGATGCTGTAGACCTTGTCCATACCCTGACAGTGACCACATGGGACATCTTGAACCAGAACCATCTGGCTGATCTGTTGCCAGATTCATGCCGAAAATATTTATTTAACCAATACTTATTTGAAAAATGCATAAAGTTCCCCTTATACTTGAAACTGCCTTACCCTGTATCTTTATTTTGTTGAATATAAAAAAATAACCCTATAAATATAAATATAACAGTAAAATAAACAAAACAAGGGGGAAAAAACCAGGATATCACTATCTCAATAAATTGTTTTTATTTCTACACCTTCCTTTACAGCCCAGCTCAAACACATAGCTTTATAAACCGATGGTCAGAAGTTTCTTACTTTGTATTATGTCATAAGCATTTTGCCATGTTACTTTTGTAGTCCCATAATTATAATTTTTCAGGAATATACCACAAATATTTTACTGCTGTTAGAGAGCTCGGTTGTTTCCAATATTTTAATAGTATATGTTATAATTAACATATTTGTACATAAAGATTTTTCCTATTCTTACCAATAGATGTCCATAAACATGATTAAAGTGTCAAATATTATAAATATTTTATAATATAAATATTATAAAAATTATTGTAAAATATTATATTTATTATTATAAATATTTAGTAGTATATTGAAATATACTACTATAATTTTTCTTAAAATGCTGTAACATCTAAGCCTCTTACAGTTTTAATATACTATGATAAATAAAAGTGCCACAAGATTATGAACCTTAGATGCTGGAGAGAATCTTCTTTAACTTTTGTAACTCTGAAAATTTGAAGAAATTTAATTGTAGTCTAAAAGCTGTTCCTCAGGTGGTGTATTTTCTTAGCTGTCACATGACTTATCAGTAGACCTTAAGATAAGTCATCACAGATGTGCCTGTAGTATTGTAATTTACCTGAATTCCCTTTAGAGATGAAGCACCCATATAAAGAAACACTCCATATAGCACTGGCATGGGAATAAACTGTAAAAGAACAATTGGAGAAAAGGCACAAATCATTTTTAAATATAATGTGGTTTTTCACTTATCAAAGAAAAAAACAGAGGAAAAAGGGGCATTTTTGAATAGAAACAGTATAGTACAGATCCAGAAGACATGGATTCAAGATCCAGCTCTAGCACTCTTTAGCTGTGTAATCTTAGGTAAGTTATCTAAGCTCTCTGTGCCTTAGTTTCCCAATATCTAAAAGGAGATAATAACAATAGGGTTGTTATAAGTATTTAATAGGTCAAAATCTATTTTTAAAAACCATGTAGTATATAATGAACAATAATACTATTACTATGCCACTTTAAAGACAATTTGAATTTTGGTTTACAAGGATAAGATATTTGGATTAAAGGTAAAGAATGAAGCTAACATTTAGATGTGTTTCCTTCATTATGTCAGGTATTTGTACATATATGGATTATTCAGATTTTCTCTTTATTGGAATAGTTCACTATCATCTTATGTCTATATTACTTATATAACAAGGATTAATTCTTGAGAAGGTACTTGTGTTAATGATCAAATACAAGTAAACTAGCGTGAATGATTAAATAATTAAAAACATCAAATTGTAGGCAAGTAAAACTAGTTGTAATTTATAATGCAATTAACACACCTTGGTAATATCTGACAAAATTACATGACAAAAAATTACTAGTTAATTCTCTTTAAAACAGATTTCAAGTTTTGTGTGAAAAAAATCATTACATGCAATGATGACATCCAGACAGTGGTTTTATAGAGCACTTAAAATGGAAAACTGCATATGCGACTGTAACCAGGGCTGTGCTGTTCCCTTCACCTCTATCTTTCATTAATAACAAGTAATATTAACTGCTAATATATTTATCCACTGACAGGAAAACAGAATTTTTATGAATGCCTGTAGTGAATTCAGGTCACAAGTCAGTCAGAAACAATGAATGACTTTTTCCCATAGCTTGATCACTATTTCAAAATTGTTACAATAATTTACTCATCAAATTTTACTTTGCCAGACTAAATTTTTATGTATTTAAGGGTTTTAAAATATAGGACATAATTTCCCTCCCTTACGTTATGAAGAATTACATAAACATGGTTAAGAAATTCATCACTTTCATCACATGCCACACAATATTTGCAAATTTATGGCTCAAATTCAAATGAAAATTTTAAATGATGATAAATATATTCTTCTTTTTCCCAAATTCATAAAGACAGATTTCATTACCTTCAGAATACTGGTCATAAAGACTGATGAACCCATAAGAATAAAAATCATAAGCCCAGTAACCCTTTGCTCCCGAATGCCGAGAAATTTGGGTTGTTCTCCTGGAGCTGAACATTCTGATTCCAGTTTTAGGCTATTGACATGAGTGATGGAGAGGACGGTAGCAGCCACAAACCATGGCAGGCCCATGATGGAGCATACACCAAGCATGACAGCCACCATTAATAGGTCCAGATGGTACCCACAGCCTTTCTGTTTAAGAAAGAAAGAAAGAGAAAAAGAAATTACGTCAACAACAGAGCTAAGGGTGGCCTGATTGTGTATAGAAACCACTTCCTGATAATACTCAAGAAGCCCTTTGTATCAGATCACTTGGAGTAAACTCTTAAACACACATTCAGTTTCCAATTGCCCTCTTTTGTCTCATGGGTGACTTTTATTACAAAAAATAATATCATGGAGCCTAAGCTCCCCTCTATAGTCATTTTTAACTCAATATAGTGTGCTGTCTTGTTATAATTTGTTTCAGTTTCAGCACCAGACAAATTGAGCCCCTCCTTAGAAATTACAGTTTTGTGTTTTCTATTTCCTCTGTTATGCTACTCCACTGTCACTGACCTCCAGGTGTTGCAAACTAAGTGCTTCCTAGGTCCAGGCAGGAAATGTAAAGGAAGAAAAATAGGTGCAGGCCGGGCGCGGTGGCTCACGCCTGTAATCCCAGCACTTTGGGAGGCCGAGGCGGGTGGATCACGAGGTCAAGAGATCGAGACCGTCCTGGCCAACACGGTGAAAACCCGTCTCTACTAAAAACTACAAAAAATTGGCTGGGCATGGTGGCGCGTGCCTGTAATCCCAGCTACTCAGGAGGCTGAGGCAGGAGAATTGCCTGAACCCGGGAGGCGGAGGTTGCGGTGAGCCGAGATCGCACCATTGCACTCCAGCCTGGGTAACAAGAGCGAAACTCCGTCTCAAAAAAAAAAAAAAAAATAGGTGCAATAGGCCATGTGGAAACTAACCTCTTGCACAGACAGGTTGCTCTTGGAGGAGAGAAATCAAAGATGGGAAAGTGCACTCCCTCCATGCCCTGTAGGAATCAAAAGTGTAGAGCCTCGGAAGCAGCCAAAGGGTTGGCCTATTTTATGTTCCAACTTTTTATTTTTAATTTTTAGTGACTACTTTATGAGAGATAGCATAATAAAGTGGTTAAGAATGTAAGTTTTGGAGTCAGACTGCCTGGAATCAAATGCTAATTCAACCAATAAATAACTTAACCTCTTGCATCTCTTTTTCTCTATCTGAAAAATGGTGATGATGATAGTGGAAGGCACCCCATTGCACTGTTGTGATAATTAAATTAGTTAATGTTGTAGATCATTTAGAATATTTGTTGAACAGAAAGCACCCAGAAAATGTTAGGTACTATTACATTGTAGTGGTTAAACAATAAATGTTTCTTTTGTACTCATTAGGTTTCAAGGCTCCTTAATAAAACTATTAATAAGTTTTTAAGAGCAGATAACTTATATAATTTATCAATATTTCCTCCAGTTTTTAGCACAATCACTGGCACACAATAAGCAATCAATAAAAGTTACAAAATGACTTAAAACATAAAATATGCATCATTAAACATTTCAGAATCAAATGTAATAAGCGTAATTTAAAATAAATACAGCAGTTAAATTTGTTATGATCATGAGCAGAAATTACCAATTCTTCTAGGAGAAAAATTGTCTTTTTTTAGAGGTAGTTTTACATAACTTCAAGCAGTTTGTAGTTAATATGAAAGCTCTTATAGCCTGGAGTATGAAACACACTGAGAATTTGTTGCATATATGTCATGGTAGTGTTTTCATTGTGATTTTGTTTTCTTGTTTTCTTAGTAAGAAGATTCTTAAAGTCAGTTGTACTTTCTTTCCTTTCTGCTCATCCCTTCCAAATTATAAAAGTGCAAGAGATGACAGTGAGGAGAAAACAGGAGTTATGTTCCTCGTGTGTTGGCACCAACGCAATGGTACCCTTCATTGGGTCACCTTATTGGGGCAATGCTACACTTCACCAAAATGTCTTAACTTAATTCCCTTAGTGAATATGACTCTGGAAACTTTTTTTTGCAAGTAACTCAGGAAACAATTTGATTAGTAAGAGTTGAAGAGTAGGAAGAGAAACTGCCTGGTGTCCCCATAACCAAAAAGGTCTAGGAAAAAGCTTTGCCCTATCATAACATGGTCCCTTGGCCCTTTTACAAAACATTTTGGAAGATATAATTCCATAGAATAGAACTCAGATTTTGGTCCCTTTAAAGGAAAATGACTTAAGCAGTTTGAGAAGTATTTTGTCCTAGCAACTCTGGAGTTAGATGGATATAGAACAGTGAGGACCTCGTATGGAAGCCCCTGTCTCTGAGGTAGTATAATGTGAATGGTGCCCCCTTGGAGCTGTTTTTGGAAAATTGTGGTATTGCAATGAGAGAATGGAAGATGTAAGAGGAGCTGGTGGCTATGAGATGAACATCAGAGGAGGTCAGAAGACAGGGGCCCCTGAGAGTCAGGCTTATATTTTTTAGCACACCTGGGCTTTCTCAGAGTCCACATTTGCTACAGCTCGATAATATAAGGGAGACCTTCATCATGATAGTGATTTCCTATAGTTCTTATTGAATGTTTTAAAAATATGATACAAATGTAAACAGTGGGATTCTGAATCGTGGGAAGTGGGCAAAATAATTCTTTCAGAGGTAATAACTTCTTTTCTAAATTTATAAAGCTAGCTTTGTAATGTACAAATATATAATAACAACAAAAATGTAATTTCCCCCAATTTTGCTGTACAACAATGGGAGCATCTTGATTTAATGTAAACCAAAGGAAATAAATAAATCAGTTCTTGGTCTTTCCCTAACTAACCAGCATCCTTCTTGCCTTTCATTTAAAATGTCTTTAAAAACTTGGACTTTGTAATGAAATTATCAGCTGATAGGCATGCCAGCCAAAGGGAACTATCCTTTTGTCAGAGAGAGAACTCTACACCTTCTAACATATTTCTGTAGATTTTTTTTCTCAAATAAAGACAGAGTTAGAGCTTTTATTTTCACATTCATCCATGAATCACAGGAAATGGACATATGGGAGGAAAAGGGAGCATAGCAACAGGTGATGCTACACCAGACCCCACTAAAACCAACATGCAGCAAGACAAGAGGCCAGCCAAGAGGACCATCTGATACCCAGATGCCACTGCTGAAAAAATTCATTTCAAAGCTTGGCAGCAATTTCCTGCATCTGTCAAGTTAACCACATAAAAGACTATAGATTGACATGAAGAACCAGGCTGACAAAGAGGGCAAAAAAGAACATATCAAATGCCATAATCATCAAGAGAATATGGTGCCAAATGAATGTGGCAAATGCATTCATTTACTCAAGTGATCCGGGATTGTATTGCTGTTTATTAAAAATGATGTCAAAAGAAGCCTGAACTGTCTACAGAAACATGTAGAAAAGCCCACAGTTGTATCTTAACAGAAACTTTCTTTTTTATAAGATTATATCTCTTTTTTCACATTTAGAGAATGTGCTTTAAAAAACCCAAGAAGATATTTTAATGCTTTTCAAAAGGATGCAGTTAACTTATGCTTAATCCACTTCTCTAAGGGAGAAACAAACAAACAAACAAATGCTAGAGAGAGTATGGATTTATATGTACATTTATATATAATATATACGATACTTCCACTTCTTTCACTTTTGAGCATCCAAAGGATCATGGGATACAATGAGTTCGAGTTTACTAATTTTGAGCTCCCCATTCTTTGGGAGGAGTAAGTCACCCGTGCAGTGCAACATAGCTTTACAGCTTACATAGTGACATTCATGAAATGATAAAAACTTTTTTTTTTTTTTTTAGACAGAGTCTCACCCTGTCACCCAGGCTGGAGAGCAATGGCACTATCTTGGCTTACTGCAATCTCTGCCCTCCAGGTTCAAGTGATTTTCCTGCCACAGCCTCCTGAGTAGCTGGAATTACAGGTGCCCAGCAACACACTCAGCTGATTTTTGTATTTTTAGTAGAGACAGGATTTCACCATGTTGGCCAGGCTAGTCTTGAACTCCTGACCTCATGATCTGCCCTCCTGAGCCTCCCAAAGTGCTGGGATTACAGGCGTGAGCCACCACGTCTGGCCGATAAAAACATTTTTATCAGTATGAGAAATATGATCTCAAAGTAAAGAACTACTATTTCTGGCAATAGAGGTGAAGAAAAAGTGAAAAGATCTAAAATATGTTTGGGAGAGACAAAGAATGAAATGAGGAATTCTGAGTTGACTTGAGTATATGAAGACTTAGATACATGATGTGGAGTCTACCAAGTGTTTGATACAAAAACTAGAAAACATGATTCATTAAACAATTTCAGGAAATGCTCCAACCGGCAAAAATGGGTTTTCAAGTGAGAAAAGAAAACCTGTAAAAGCTGAATATGTTTTCACAAGTGGTTAGCTTGTGGTCGGGTGACATACTCAAGAAACACATCTTTTAGTGAAAATGTTGTTCAAGTCAAAGCCAGGAGACTTTGCAAACATTTCAGTGAAGCAACAGGTGGGGAGAAGGACTATGGAACAAACCGTTATTCTGAGTAAATAATGTTCTGAGAAGGTGATTTTGTTGTTGTTAACAGGAAAATCAGTAGCATCAGCCCACACTCTACAGAAGCTTCGAGGACACAGGATTTATAGGCCCAATAGGGGTTCAATGTAGATAAAATATATCTTCACTGGAAGAAATTTGCTTTGAAAGCATTTATATCTAAGGAGGAGGATGGAGAGTTCAGACGCACAGTGGCCAGGAAGAGACTGACTCTTCTGCCTGTGGTCAGATACCAACTTTATGATTAAGCCAGATTTGCTGTATCATTGACTAAATCCAGAGTGGTAAAGGGCAAAAATATGAAACTTTTGACTACATAATCATTTATTTGTGCAATACAACAGATTTAGTAATGTAGCCTCAGGTTTATTTCAGTGACAGAAATATTAACTGCTCTATGTCTGCATTTAATTCTATAAATGCAAGTACTTGAAAGGATCACTTAAAGAATGCTTTACTGCATTTCTGTTATTCCATAATATATGTGAAGGGGTAAATTAGTGTATTTGTCAACATAAAGCTTTGGAAAGGCTGTGAATGTCAAGGGTTCATGAAGAGCAAGGAGTAAGAGCAAGTGTCGTGCAATTTATAGGTTGAAGGCTCAGGAAAGGGCAAAGATTCGGAATGGCCGGGAAGGTAATATCAATCTCAGTAAGCCTTTCACTTCCACACTTTGTTTTAATATGATTAAACTTACACTAGGAAAAAAATGTTGCCTGAATCAGTTTAACTAAGGGCCCTTACAAAGGATAATTTTTCAGTGAACTGACTAGAATTTCTGCCTAATTATAAAGGCTAAAAAAACTTCTTTGAAAGGTAAATAATAATAATTATATGGCTTACTTTCTTCCTAAAACAGGGGTTTTTTAGTTGATTTTAAAATGTGTCATTTAGTAAAACATATACAATTGTGAGAATTCTTAAGTTACTTTCTACAAAAAGAATGAAGAATGTCCTTTGCTTTAAGATATACACACATTCTCTCCAGTATATACTCAAAATTCCTTCTTCATAAGATTTGTTGCAAATAAGTGTGCTTTCTTACATTTATGTTATTATTATTAAAAGTAATGACAAAAACTACAATTACTTTTGCACTAGCCTAATATATTGCATCAGAGTTTAATCAGAGATTTTTTTCATCTTTCTAACATTCTTATAAAATCCTACAAAGCATGGTTTCTGTTACTCTGATAATGATTTTTTTTCTCTTAGAGTTTAAAGGGTATGTGAAAATAGCTGGCAATTTTCCTGTGATACCAGAACAAAAACAAGATTGTGCATATTCTGTTTTTACAAGGTTTGATGCAGATTATTTTTAACCATTTAATGATTTATTGATTTTATATAACACATTTCTGTAAATAAGTGATAGTGCTTATATTATATATCTTAGACAAATTGCATACAAGTGAACAATTTTGATTATTCAAAACTGCAAAATGGCA